CACCTAAATCCATATTGGGAAGAGGCACAAAAACAGAGTCAAGTGCCATTTCAGTCGTTTCAGTCCCAGGTCACGTCTTGAGAAAATTACTGAAATAATGGAGGGGGCATTTTTTCCAGCAGAGTTGCAGCTCCAATGCTATGTTTACTTTAACGCTTCACTAGTGACTTCTGATTGGTTGTCATGACCTCATCTCACTATTGCACCTAGCACGTTGCAACAGTGGCATGTACACGTCCTCCTTGGGAAAAGGATGAGAAGACAACATACATCTCTCAGAAAAAGATGAATGGACAGCAGTTTGCCCATTTTAACCCACATGTAGATATAACTTATGCTTTGATTTGATCTCTGTTGAAGATGAGCACCTTTCTTTTTTCAAAAATAAGCAGCAGAATGTTGAACTTAAGAACTGTGATTGATAAATCTGGGTAAAATGGTCTATTGCAGATTCTTACATGAAGACCAAAACAGATAGTTTATAGGTCAAAGGATTCTACTTTGGCCCATAACCTCTTTGGTCACATGTGACTTTTGGAATTAGCAAATTAAGATGCAGAGCTGAATGATTGAAGCTGATTTTGTGTTTAGTCAATCACAAGTGATTTGACAAGATAAAGAATTTGTGACTATGTTTAATTTTTGTTGATAATTAATAGGCAAATTAACTTGGATAAACCTTCAGCAAGGTTTATCTGGGGGAATAAATACTTTCTGGTTTTGATTTAGCATTTAAAAATTTTATCTCTATGAAGAATCTTCAAAATATGTACGTGTCTGTGCTGTTTCTCTAGTCAAGTTTCCTCTTTGGTTGTGTTAGGCATCACCCGTCATTCTTAACCTCTGTAACCTAAGCCATACTCTGTTGATTGAATGACAAATGAACTAAAATTTGTTAGTAAACACATCTATATATTGTATAGTGAAGGGAAGTGATCATGTTCTTTTTTAAGTCATTGTGGCAGCTGCTAAACTTAAGAAAATGCTATGTTTAGTGATAAAATTCTGAGGGTTTATGATTAAGATACCATAGTTTATACCTTATGAAAAGAGCTCTTGAAATGAACTACAGTTGTAGTTAAAAAAAGGGATAGAAAAGAGAAAAATAAATTAATGCGATAAAGTTTACTTCGTGTCAGTATCTGTACTTTGGGTCATCTTTTTGATCTATAAGACTGTGTTGTCAGATATAAGTTAATTAGCAATTTTATGTATGCTTTGGCTCTGAAATATCAAATATTGGGTTGACTTAGGTACATCATTGTGAAGGATGCCAAAAGCTTTGTTTACTTAGGTGTAGAATGTTAGATAATCAATTTGATCATTTTATCTTGCTCAAAATAATAAAAGTTTCCCTGTATATTTGTAACTCACTTACCTTTTTATCTTAGGATATATTTAACATGCATAACGAGTAATTCAATATGAAAAAAATGCTTCCATGCAAACTGTTTAAGGTTTTAAGCACCAGTTATACACCCTCCAGTGGGAGTGCTAGTGCTCAGTTCTTAGTTCTTCTGCAGTTTATTCGGTGGCTAGTTTCATCATGCCATTTGTAAAACTTCATGGGCACATTTATATCTATACTGTGTATCTTTTTACTTCTGTACATGTTGATTGAATGCTAATGGAAAAAATTGTATTTTTAATTATGTTTTGATTTCAGTACATTAATTGATACTGCTCTGGTTTAAATAGTGAAGTTTAAGTATTGGCTTACTGTCAGCTTTGTTTGCTTAGTGTTTGACTCCTGGCTTCCACGAGTTAATGTTGATATGGCAAAAGTCATTGTAGTTTTAGCATATTAAGGAATGTTTTGAGAGTGTTTACCTGTGATAGGAAAAGAAAAAAAGATAAAATGCTGCCATATATCTGTGGATGAAGCATGTAAACGGGAAACTTGACTTTATTTTATTGTTCCAGCTTTCTCCTCCTCGTCATAAAATAGTTATGAATGGTCTCAGAAAATTGCATTAATTTATCAGGAAAATTTTAATTGAAAAATGTAAGGTTTTTTTTTACAGAATGGTAATTGAATTTGCAACAAAGACATTTATTAAAATTAGCTCTAATTTCTCTAGAAAATCTTCCTGAATAAATTCTAATTGTTATTCCAGTAATTAAATTGGCAGTATGAAATACCTAAATGATAAAATATTTTCTAAGTAAATTGTATGTTTAAAGAGAAACATTTATTGTTGGAATCTAAATGATGAAATTTTTTAATTGATTTATATAGTGACAATTTAAATATAGAATCATTTTTCATCTTTTGATGCCTTGGTGAAAAATTGACAATGTGTCTTTATAAAATTGGACAAATGAGTCATGTAATTTTCAGTTACATAATCGATAACTTAGACAAATACTACTTCTTTGATGATTTATGTGTGTGTGTGTGTGTGTGTGTGTGTGTTTTGTACTTATTTAGATGGGACACGTCAAATTTCAGATTTCATTTAAAATCACACAGGCACAATATTTTTCATTCTCTGACTTTCAAGAATGAAAATAAAAGCTTCTGCTCCAGTAGACCTACTATTATGAAAATACTCTTTCTATTGATTAAGTTAGAATTAGAGTAACAATTTGTAACACTTGCAACTATAAATTTTACATGGAGACTTCACCTTTATTTGAAATTCATTCATGGTGCCACGATGAGGCTGTCATTCTATCAGTTTTTTAAAATCCTACTTTTTTACCTTGAGTTTGATTTTTTTTGGTCTTGTTTAAATGTATATAGCTGTTTTCATATCTAGAATTCTCAAATTCTGTTATAGACTTGCTAACACTCATGTATAAGTATGAGAAGAGAGAAAGAGAGGGAGAGAGAGAGAGAGAGTGTGTGTGTGTGTGTGTGTGTGTGTGTGTGTGTGTGTGTGTGTGTTTAAAGTTCAATTCACTCAGAGAAGGCAGGGAAGAAGCATGACAGGAGACCACTTACTCACAGTACAGAATCTAGTAAGGAGGCAATTTTCTTTTTGGCCTATGGTGACCTTTTTTGACTATGTTCCTTACACCAGAGACAGTGTAGTGAATGCCTCCATTTCACCCTGTTTAGTAGAGTGCAACAGTGTTCTTTAACTTACTTTTGGTGGGAGGAGAAGTTATAACTGAAATTTGAGACGGGCGTGAAAAGTTGTAAGAGGCACAAGTAAGAGGGGTAGGAACTTACTTCAAATGTGATTTTAATAACTAGTCAAGTGTGTCCAACTGTAGAAAATCACCAAGTGACAATCTGTCTACCTGACAGTGATCACAATGAATTACAAGACTTTTGAATAGCTCTACAGATTAGAATAAAGCAGGACCAAATAAAATATCTTTTGTTGGTAAAACTTTGACTTGCCAGCTAAGAAACTTTACGGGGGTGGGGAGGGGAGCTGTCGCTTGTACTCTGAAGTAGAACATTTAAAATTTGAAATTGGAAAGTATTTTATAAGCCATTCCTGAAAGAGGCATTTATCTTAAACTTTTATTCGAACATGTATTGAAGAATATGTGTTATTTTGTTAGTTTGGTATATTATATATGTGTTATATAGTTTTCATATGTATGTAAGACAAACATGTCTTAATTAACAGTACTATTATTAAAATCAGAATTTCAGTGATCTTGGGAAAAAAACTCAAATTACGTTATAGTTTTAAACAGTAGTATCATTTGATGGGTGAATAGGGGCTGGGAGAAGCGATAAAATGAGAATTAAAATGCTCCCAATAAACTTAAGTTTGTAGTTTGTAGTTGTTTAAAAAAGCAGCTATGTCTAGCACTGTATTTTAAAATAAGATCATTGAGCCTATACTAACATTGATTTAGTATTATTGCTCTCAGGTTTTAAAAAATCTTATTGATGGGGCAAAAATGAATTTAACTTTTAAACTGAAATAAAAATTTTTAGCTCTACAATTATAGCGTGGGAAAAATGACCTGTGTCATTTTTAAAGCATACCTTTAAACTTTATTTTCCTTAACATTTATGTTTTTATTTTGCTATAATATCTAGATGTTTTAAGTGTAATCCTGTACATTTTACTTGGGAAAATTGGACTACTCACAGTACAGAATTAAATAAAAAAGATGTGATTCATATTAATTTCAAAATTTTGTATAATGTTTAATATTATATCGAGTTTCCTTACCTGTAACCATATAAATGTTTTTCCTTGCTAAGAGTAAATCATACCCCCAAAAAACTGTCCTTGAAGTGTTTTTAAAAGGTTTATTTATGTATTTTTCAACTTTGGGACATATCGCCTTTAGTGCTATATTTAATAAAGGGAAATGTTTATGATAAATGAAAAATAGGGAATTTTAGAATCAGAATTGCTTTTATACATTAGAACAGGGTATTAGAATGGTTTTATTTTGTCTTATGATTTGTTTGTCCTCAAAAAAAAAGAGAGATTAAGAATTTCAAGGTACACAGGTGAACATTACATATTTAGGTCAGTAATGTCTATGTACATATTCAGAGATGTACATGTGTAAATATATCATAGTATATACTTGTATCTGTAGAACGTTAGATCAACTTTAGTCATTTTTCCTTTTCAAATGGAAAATCTTTATTAAAACATCCTTGTAAAGGAAAAAGAATCCTACAAAATGTGGTTTGGATTTTAACTTAAGTTTCAATGATGTTATTTTCTCAACATTTAGGTATTAATGTTGTTGAAAATATTCTTATTTCATCATTTATTTCAGTTATTTGGGGTATTCTAGGAGATTTAAGCACTTTTAATTTAAGCTTCATAATTTATAAATTGTAATTATGTCATTTTGTTCTTATAATCTCTACTTATTTACACCCATGATGCAGACAAACAATTTCAATTGAATTTCTTTTGGAAAAATTAGAACTGTGGTCTTTTTAAAGGAATATTTTAATAAACGTGCATTAGTATCAAGTCATGTAATAGCAGATTTAAGAACTTTTTTATGGACTGGAATGTTCCTAAGATTAAATTACACTGCCTTCTTTGCTTTCAAAATAGGAAGGTTATGGCGTGATAGTGCTGAATCCTAATGAAAACTATATTGAAGTAGAAAAGCCGAAGATACACTTACAGTCCTCTTCTGATAGTTCAGATGAACCTGCAGAAAAACGGGAAAGAAAAGATAAAGTCTCTAAAGAAACAAAGAAGCGACGTGATTTCTATGAAAAGTACCGTAACCCCCAAAGAGAAAAGGAAATGATGCAGCTATATATTAGAGTGAGTAATAAGATCATTGCTATTCTTCATTTTTCCTTTATTTATATTTTTAATATGATTTATTTTGTTTTTAAAATGCAGATACTTTCTCTTTTTTTAACAATTTTTTATGTGCTAGATGAGATGTTTTAACCAATCTAGATATTTTCTTTCGATTCAGAATTACAAATCACATAATTATTATTTCATTGTGATGTTTTATCTAAGTCTCAAATGTGATTAATAATGCACTGTACAAAACATCAGCCTTCCTCTTGGGTGACAATAGCTTTATTGCATTGTTTTCCTAAAAGCCATCCTCAGCCTAACTTCTGATAGCAGGTGGAGGGAGAAAGAGTAATTAATATCTTAAGAAATAGTTGAGCTAGAATCGTTTAGGGAGAGTATAATGAGGAAACTCTGTCCTTAGCTCTTTCTCACCCAGTGAACCTTTGCACTTTGTAGTGCCGGTAGCACAGGATTGTTACAGCACTGTTGCCCAAGAAGTTCTGATTTTGTAGAGGGCACCATTTTATTCGTACTGTGATACATTCTGCATGGTACACATACTGTGCATTATATATATCTATATATAGATATATATAGATATAGATATGACACAGTCATGCCATTTTCCAAGCCTTATTACAGATGCTAGAAATATTATGTAATAGTAAAGCATGTCAGAAATGCTGCCGGCTAAGTAAAATAGTAAATTGATATGCTCTTCAAAAGTGAGCAATTCAGAACATTTAAACATAGACAAATTAACATTTTATGAATTATATTATAAGACATCAGTAAAGTTCATATCATTACACTTGAGCTATTTTTACATTTATTTTAAAAGCTCATTAATAAAATATTTCATATATCTTTGAGGGGAAATGTGTACCTATCTGTGTTACTTTCTTCTACTTCTAGTTCCATGGCATAATCACTATTTTTTGGAATCTTACTGCAGATATTCAAGACGCTTGATTATGGGTCGGTCTGTTGAGTAAGTTATGACAGTTAAACAGGAGTGAGAGAAGCATATAAATCCTCAAGGGCCCCCCTCCCCCCACAAAGTGTATTCAGACCAAGATTCCTAAACACGTACCATTGATGAAGTCAGGAAAATTTAAAATTCCGAGAAATTCATTTCTAATGTACTGTTTAAAAAATGAAACCAATTTTATATTTTCAGTTTGCTTGTTCTAATGCAGTTATTCATCTGCACCTCTTTCTTTCCTTTGAGTGCATTAGGATTGTGAAGTCACCTTCTCTCTCAGTATCCTAATCTTCCTGTTAAATGATCTAGTCTGTCAACCAGCTTCTTATGAAAGACTTGCCTCTTCTATCCAGCTTCCAAATTAATTGTGTAGAGATTTTTGAAATATATAGTGATTGAATGTTCACTTGCCTACGTAAGATAAAAATGAATTTGTGGTTTTTATTTCTTCTTTCAAGTATTTGTCTATCATGTGTACAGTTTAAACATCTTTTTCTGACATCTGTCTTGTAGCTTTTATTTCTCCTTTTTTATTCTTCTTTATCTTGTCACTGTTACTTTGATTTTGTCTTTTGTTCTCCTGTATATGTGTATTTTCTTTACTCTGTTTTTCACATCTGTTACATTTATCCCTGCTTCTATTTTTTTCTTACCCCAAGGGGGGAAATCTTCTTATGTTGCTTTATTGTTAGGATCTGTTCTCTTTCCCTTTGTCTTTTTTCTTTAATTCTTTTATCTCTTTTATGCTACTGCCATATTTACTTATATCCTTATCATGTATTTTTGTCTCTCTCTCCCCCTCTTCTTTTTGTTTTGTGCCGTTTTATTCATCAAACTGGGATCCTATTGAAAGCTCTGTATAAATGAATTAATGTAGATGATACAACTTTGTACCTGTAGTCTTAGTTCACAAATGTTATTTTTAAACAAACAAACCCCTTTTCTTCTAAAATCTCCCGTCATACAAGAAAGTAGAGTTAGTTATGAGCATCTTCAAACCTGTTTCTAGGTAGGCACGATCTTGTAGTGGGAAAGAGAAGAATGGTCATTTGTGCACAGCATTTTAATTTTTTTTCTATTTTTGATCCACTTAAGAAGTGACTTCTTGTAATTTCCTTCCCTCCACATATCTCCAACTAAATGTTGTTTGTGATTTTTATATAGAGAGCATGACATAAGATGGAGATAAATTAACTTATTTTTGCTCTCCTAATCATTTACATTTTGAAATTCATTATTTATTCTACCACTAAGTAGGTAGATCAAATAATTCCATTCTTATTTTATGCTTAGCAAAACAATTCCACAAGTGGTTCACTTTGTGTAGGATCATATCACTAGTAATGGTGGAACTAAGAATTGAGATCAGGGTATCTAATTGCTATATATCAGGGCCCATAGCCCCTTTTTTGTCAGTGTTCTAACTGATTAAAAACAAAATGTGTATCTGAGATACGAAAATTATACTCGTTAAAATAATTTTTTAATTTAATAAAAACAAATTTTTTAATTTGATACAGTAACTCCAGTGGTTATATAGATTTTTGAGTAGCTATTCTTTACTATAAAAACTACTAAATGTTAATAAATAATTTATATGAAAACAATTTACAGTAAATAAGTAAGTAAGTAAAGGCCCTCCCGTTGATCATCAATTTGTTCGAGCGGGCCCAGTAACGTCTCCATTGGAGACTTTGTTGTTACTGTGTCTGGCATATCGAATACGTCACGGGGAGCTTGCCAGGCTCTGCCGTGCGGGCGAGATACTCTCGGTAGCTTGCCGGGCTCTCCGAGAGGGGCGGAGGATTCGAACTCGGGTCAGCCATGTTGGCTGCGTGCAAGGCAAATGCCCTACCGCTGTGCTATCGCTCCAGCCCTTACAATAAATATGTAAATAAATATGAAATATGTTACTCTCTATTTTGTTTTGAGACTATACTATGCAGTGCTCAGTACTCTTCCTGACTCAGTGGTTGGGGTCCATTCAGTGGTGCCTGGTCTAGAACCCACCTCCCATGTGCCGAGCACATGCTCTGCCCATTGGGCCATCTCCCCGTCCACTATATTTTCTTTTAAGGACTTGCTAATATCTATCCAATTTTACCAGTATGGAGACTGGGGGTCAAAACTTTGAAGTTTTCCCCTGGTAATCTAACTCTTTATATAAATTCTATGAAGGCAAAGATTTTATTTTGCACACTACTACTTCCCCTGAAACTAGAACAGTGCCTTCTAAAACACTTCGTAGTGTTTTAGAATCTTCATAATAAATTGCATTGGATATATAAGATAATTAATTTATACATAAAATTCCAAATTTCTACTGATGTGTCCTACATCTTTAAATTATGCTACTGTTTCTATGAAGAAGCACTCAAACAAGCCCAAATTGAATTTTACATTGGGGTTTCCCTGCCTAATCTCGTGGCTTTTTTTTAATTATAATTAGAAAGTGAGTATGTCAAGGTTTATTTGATACTTTGATTCAGTCTTTGCATTTTTCTAAAATGTATGAAATATTTTTAAAAAGAAGCCTTATTTTCTTCTTAACTATATTATCATGATACTAATATAAAAGAAAACTAGAGTGCTTCTGCTGACTACTGCTGTTTCTGTTCTACGGTCTTTGTTTCTTTGCTTTCTGTTCATTCTCTAACCCAAATTTTGTTCATATTAGAGTGCCCAGGTGAAAGTCCATCCCTTTTTCTTTCTTTCTTTCTTTTTAGTTTTTGAGCCACACCCAGTGATGATCAGGGTTTACTCCTGGCTCTGCACTCAGGAAGCACTCCTGTTGGCGCTCAGGGGACCAAATGGTATGCTGGGAATCAAATCTGGGTCCAGCATGTACAAGGCAAAGCTCCCTAGCCATTGTACATCTCAAAGAATTTTGGCGTCCATCAGAAATATTTTTCTCATTTTAGTAAGTGACCTTTTCATACTAAGACTCAGGAAAATTGCAGTAGTTATGTCTATATATATGTATATGTGGAATTTATGATGTTATCTTAAGCTATCTGTGTTTCTTAACACTTTCTTACAAATCGAATCATCATTTACTAGGTTGTTACAAGGTTGTTTTTGATTGGGCTTTAGTCATACAGTGTGTCAATACCCATTTTCCCATAAATTCCTAACTCTACTAACAGTGAGATTGATCTTGTAGCCCTTTCTACTAGCTCTCCTCACAGTCTTCTAGTTCTTGAGTATGTTTTTCCAATTGCAAGTTTAAACATTTTTGAATGCATACTTACTTGTTAGTTTTTATAATAGTACAGAGACTACTGAGGGGGAGTCAGGAGATAACACTAAATTTATTCACCATATTCTCATGTCCTGAAAGGAGATTAAAACTAAAAGATTAGACCTTTGTCCAGAAGCTTCCACATCATTGTAAGAATAAAGGGTCTTAGGGTATCATGCCGGAACCAAAGAGGACAAGTAGTCAAACTAAGGAATATCAGTTTAAATGTCTTTACAGTATATAGGTGGAATGTAGGCGGTTGACATAGTTCTGAACTATCTAATCTTGGGTGGAAACTGCTTGACTGTCTCTTCCGAAAATTGAGACTTAGTTGTGGGCTTTGAATATAGGTGTGATAAAGAATAGGGATTTTACTTACTTTTACTGTACTTTTACAACCCAGCATATTAAACAGTGACAATAACAGCAATAAAATACTCCAGGAGTAAAGACAACGAGAGAGTTACTTGGCCAAAGAAAGAAAAATCCAAATGTGGAGGAAACACATTTTCAAAACAGGAATCTTGGCAAGAATTGGCATTACACGTTGAAGATACTAAAATATTTATGGGTTGATTGCTTGTTGGCATCCATCAAAAATTCTTTTTCCTTAATATTCAAGATACTTGTATCTAATGTTTGATTTTTTTGTTTTTTAGCATTCCTGCGAATTTTTTCAGTTGTTCAGAAATAGCCCAAACCAAAGCTTTTTTTTTAACCAAAAAAGCTTTTATTTTTAAAATATTTTGATAGCCTGTGCTTTACAATAGTATTAATAATGGTTTC